CTTCCTACTTCCTTTTATCTATCCTTTATTTTGCTATTTATTTATACTTTGAGTTTCTCATACAAGAGAAACCATGCACTATTTAGGCATATATATATATATATATATATATATATATATATATATATATATATATGATTTATTTTGTTTAACATGGTCTCAAGGTGCATCCTTCCCTGTAAATGGCTCGTTTATCTTTCTTTATGGCAGAGTAGTACTCCTTTGTATATAAATACCACATTTTCTGTATCCATTCATCTCTTGTTAGGCATACAGGCTTTGACTTTCTATACTTATTCATACAACAGTGGGAGGGGCTCTATTTCCATTCCTGGCTTTTGAACCTACTGTTGCTTACACATGAGCTTCTCAAAGGGATTGAAAATTCATTTTGTTTTCCTCACATAAAAGGAATCTGGAGGTAGGCAGAGAAGTGCTGCAGTAGAAAATTCAGGAAGTCATCAGCAACCCTGGCTCCTGCATCCTATCCCTGTGACCCAGCATGGCTACATAACATTCACTCAGTCAATCCTCCAATCCTAACTCCTCCCTGGCTGGAGGGAAAAAGGAAAGAAGCAGAAGTAAAAGCTCCCTCATTTTCAAGAAACTCCCTAGAAATGATGTATAAAGATTCAGTACTTTCTTCGGGGCTGTACTTAGTACTGCGGCCATATTTTGCTGCAAGGATTTCTGGAATATTTTATTTATTTATTTATTTATTTTCTGAATGGTGATGTGTTCAGTAAAACAAATGAAAACAGAGAACAGAAAACAAAAAAGCAAATAAAAAATCCCTCAGGATTATTTTACTAACGAGAGACTGTCATAAGTCACTTGCTGGTATCTGCAGCAGTCATTCATCTTAAGGCTACCCAAGCAAATCCCTGAGATTCTCTTCCCTTTTGACAAGTAATTATGCTAGTTTTCAAAGCTATCATCACCACCCTGCTTATTTACACATAATCCTATTTCTCTTCCCCAGAATAAGTGCAAAAAGTCCTCAAATTATAGACAGAACCAATGCCATGTACCTATTAGCCCCTGTGGAATTTGTTATTGGAAAATTACGCATTGTGAGCTCTTTGCTTCAAAGCAGTTTTCACCCTCCAGTCTGGTTGCATACTCTTCTCTCACTTTGTTTTTCAGTTTATTATAAATACGCCAGCTTCGGTTGGCTGGCTCGCTCCTGTGTCTCCATGTCCCTGAACCTCTGCTCCTCTTGCTGTCAGGAGCAGTGATGCCTGATGTGGGGGCTCTGTGTCTCAGTTCTCTGCTTGGGGCAGTGTCTGAACAAGAGGGTTTTGTGCTCTTGTCAAAAGACTAAACAGAGGGATTTCCCCTTTTCTCGTACTTCCCTGTGCTTATGTAGACTATATCTATATTTTAAGGTTCCTGTGCTTCCTTTTTATATGCTAAATGTTCACTAACTACAGGTACTTTGGTCTCTAGGATCTTGAATTTCTCTCTGAATTTCCAGATTTTTCTTTGAACTTCCTCCCAGCCACCCCTTAGTTACCCTTTCTCACCGTTCAGTCTCCTCGACTTCTCTGCGGTATTCTGTGTTTTCGACAGCACATTCTTAGAAATACTGTGTCAGTTCGTTTACCTTTCTCACTTTCCCTTCCTCACTGACCTTCTGCTGTGTAATGGTGAGCAAGACAACGTGGTTCCACCTTCACTGTCTGTTCTTTTCTTTCTCTGCCCTCTCTTGCGAAATCTCAGCAGCAGTCTGCTCTTGCTTTCAGCAGTTATCTCTGTGTGGATGCTTCCCAGGTGTCCAGAAAGCATATTTCCTGGTCACTCCTGCATCCCTCATAAATACTCCCTGAACACCTTAACCTAAATTCCTTTGTCATCTTAAACACTATGTCTGCAATCTGTGATTTCAGTGTTGAAGGCCTGGATTCATGTGTTAGGGTCTTTTTAGATTGTCATTATATTAAACCAAATGGCTAAGGAGCGCGGTTCCAGTGAGCTGTTGTCTTTGCTGGAATGCTCCTTTCTTCTTTCCAGCTTCTTCTTTGTAACATCGGATTCAAAAATCTACATTTCGTAAAGATTTCTAGCGTGATACCTGACTTTACTGACTTCCTACACTTTGAACTCCTGTCATTCTCATTGATCTGTTTATCTGGCACTGCTCATATACTCATTGAATAAATCATCTTTATTATAAATGCCTTTTCTCACACACAGACTGCAATCTTTTTGTACTCCCAGGGCTGTGTATATAATTGATAAAATATTATTATCTATTGATTATGGCATATTCTTTTCAGTTCCTTATCTTCTTTCATTTCTAATGCTGAAACTTCTTTGCAAGCAATGCTTCTTACCAGCAAACATTTCTTTTCGATAAAAGAAATAAAGAGTTCTTGGACCAAGCTGAAGGACAGATTTTCAATAGCCTGATTTCATATTTGCCTTGTACAATTTATTTAAAGTTCATTACAAAAGGCATGGAGTGGTTGTTGGAAACGTAACATTTCTCTGTATTTATTATTGTTTGGAGCATTGTCTAACAGCCTGCGATAGAAAAGTTCTTTAAAAATCTAGTAGGATTTTGTGAAAACATAGAGTTTTACATTAGAGAGTTCAAGATAGGTTACGGATGGAGGGAGAGACGGAGATACTACAATGAAGAAAATGTAGGTGAAACTACATCCTACTAAACCCATACCATCTGATAGACAATCTTAGAATGATAACAAACCAGTCAGGTAGAAGGGTAGTAGGTATGTCAGAGTGGTAACAGTATCATAAGGAGAAGATTAATATCAAGAAAATTTCACTTCACATGAAAAGAAGTAGAACCAGTTATTTTTATGATGACTTTTTTGGGGTACTAGAGATTGAGTTTATCCCTTTTTATTTTTAAATTTTGGGACAGGGTACTTCTAAGTCCCTCAGGGGAAGTTGACAGGCTTCACATGAATGTGTGAGCCTCATGCAATTCCCATTAAACTACCATTAGTGTACCTCACAGATCTAGAGAAAACATTCCTTAAATTCATCTGGAACCAGAAGAGACCCAGAATAGCAGAAGCAATCCTGGGCAACAAGGAGAAGTCAGGTGGAATCACAATCCCTGACCTGAAATTACACTACAAAGCTACTGTGATGAAATCAACTTGGTGCTGGCTAAAAAACAGACCTGAGGATCAATGAAACAGACTGGAAGAAATAGCCACAACCACAAACACACTCGGCCACCTAATCTTTGATAAAGGGACCAAACAAACTAATGAGAAGAATGATAGCCTCTTTAATAAATGGTGCTGGAAAAATTGGCTTGCCACCTGCCAAAGACTGAAAATAGACCCAAGTCTATCACCATGCACCAAGCTCAAGTCAAAATGGATCACAGATCTCAATATTAAAACAGAAACACTAAATCTATTGGAAGAGAAAGTAGGTAAGAACCTTGAAGACATAAGGGTAGCCAGAGAGTTCATGAACAAAACCAAACTGCATGGGAAACATTTCAAAGAATCAACAACTATGATCTCATCCTACTGAAAAGTTTCTGCACATCTAAAGAAATCACCAGCCGAGTAGAAAGAAAACCCTCAAATTGGGAAAAAATTTTAGCTGACTGTCCCTTGGACAAAGGACTTCTACCTAGAACATAAAAAGAATTAAAAAACATCAGCTCCCCCAAATTCAAAGACCCAATCCAAAAATGAGCATCTGAGATGAATACACACTTCTCAGATAAGGAAATACAAATGGCAAATAAATACATGAGAAAATGTTCAGCATCATTAGTCTTGGAGAAATGCAAATGAAAACAACACTGAGATTCCATCTCACCCCAGTAAGAATGGCTGTCATTAAGAAATCAACCAATAACAAATGCTGGTGAGGCTGTGGAGAAACAGGAACTCTTCTCCACTGCTGGTGGGAATGCAGACTGGTGAAACCACTGTGGAAATCAGTTTGGAGATTCCTCAGAAAACTAGGTCTACAAGTCCCTTTCAACCCAGCTATACCCCTTCTGGGTATTTTCCCAGAAGATCTAAAAACATCATATCACAGCGATATGTGTGCACCTATGTTCATAGCAGCACAATTTGTAATTGCTAAATTGTGGAAGCAACCCAAATGTCCATCCACCGAGAATTGGATAAAAAAATTGTGATAGTTTTATATAATGGAATATTACTCAGCTATTAAGAAAGAGAAACTCGAGGCTTTTATAGGTAAATGGTCACAACTAGAGACCATACTCATAAGTGAAAAAAATCAGACTTGCATGTGCAAGTACCATATTGTCTCACTAGTGTAAGATCTGAAAGAGTGAATAAAAACTAGGAGCTATGAAAGACATTGTGACACCAAAGGAAAATGCTCAAAAGTAAAGGGCAACAGGGGTGTGGGAAAAGAAAAGGGGAATTTATGTAAGTATGTCTATACAGGATAGCTAACATAGTTGAACTACTGTCTTCTATTTCTTTGCTGAAAGAAACAGTTAATGATTACTTGATTGATCAATAGTGCATGTCTCTGTTTTCATGAGAAACCACTTTGAAGATATCAATCCATAATACAACTAGCATTGTTAATTTCCTACCAGTTTGTTTGTAACTCTGTATTGTTTGTATTGTTCTTCTGCTATTTTGTAAATGGTTTTCTGTTTGTTAATGTATTTTCCCTCTTTTATTATTAAAATAAAATTTTAAAAAAGGAAAAAAAAGTATGAGGCTCCTGCCTCAGCATCCCATAGTGCTGAGATAACAGACATGCACAACCGTGTCCTGCTTATCAATTGTTTTTAGAATAAATTCCTCAGCAGCATAGGAATGTGACAGAGCTACTGAGTGAACTAGGTCTTGTTATTGTATGAAATGTTACAAACTGAAAATATAAGAAGGTATCTGTGGTTGAAATATAGCTCTGTATGTATTGAAAATATGGACTAGTAGAGTATAATTCTAGGTGCAAATAAGGACAATAAAAGACTCAGTTCACTTATTTATTTTATCTTTTTTTTCCAATAGGAAATTTGAAGTACTGCCTTGTGATTCTTAATCAGCCTCTGGACCAGTGTTATCGTCATCTTTGGAACAAAGGTGATTTTGGCTTATACTTTGCTTTTTATTCTTTTCAGAACTAAATAGCATGCCCTTCCTGCACCCTAGAACCTAAAGGAAGCACCAAAAAGTGGAGCTCATAATAAGGCAACTCAATTAATGAATTATCAGAGGAATTTCTTATTGCTTCTCTCTTAGCCTGTTAATATATGTGATTTTCATAGTATGGACCTTCAAGGGCAAAATCATATATTTTACAAGTAGCATTTGAGTATTTGTTTCAAAGAATCAAGTCCTTGTTTAAGTGCAGATATTTTTGGCATCATTAATAGCAGAAAGTCATCTATATGCCTTATATATCTCAGCACCTACTAATAAGATATCTGCAGGATGATCACATTTGCAAAATTAAAAATACGACCTATTGCTAGTATATTAATGTCTTTACAGATGCTGCAAAACATAGTTACAAATGAAATAGTTTGACAGAATTAACACTTCTAAGAGGTTTCATGTGAGAAACAGACCTTGTGAACTATTTATTCATATTATACCTGACTTTTATAGGATTCTGTTAGAAAATACTATTAAATATCACTTGCTGTTTTTAAGCACTACTATTTTTTCCTCCATGAAATCTTGAGCGTTCCCCCCGCCCCTAAAGGAATACTTCTGTTGAGTTATCAGTGTTTTTCACTAAAATAGCTGGGCAGAAGAACTTGATTCTTGAGTATTGATGTATATTTCTGGTACCACTCTTGATTTTTTATTATTCCAGAACTTTTTAATATTCTCCACATTGGAGTTATATACCATAAAATGCAAATCTATTGTGTTAATAAGCTCACATCTGCAGACGTGTAGTTATGATACTAGAAGGAATAAATTATTACAAGTGATATTCTATATTCTTGTCCAATATGATTACAAAGAAAGATCTTGAGATACCACATGCAGTTCTCTTTAAGTCAGCCCACTTACAATTACATTATAATTGTACTAACGTTGTCCCTAGAGTTGGAAAATTATTTAATAGTCAACTTTTCTTTTTTGGTACTACTAATAATTAGGTAATTATTAGTGTAGGGTAAGAAGGCAGAAAGGCTTTTTCTTTTTCTGTCACTTAGTGCCTGGTCCAGTGTGTGGCATATAATTGCTTAGTAATTAAATTACAGTAAATTAGTCAGTGTAATATAGTCAAGATTGCCAGTAAATACCAACAAACTGATTAGGCACATCCTTGTTTTTAAAAAGCTGCCTCTTTGTAACAGATTTTATTATAGTATTGTTAGGGGAACAGGTGAGTGACTTTTTGCAAACCCTAGAAATAGACTAGAAATAATCATTCATAAAAATTTTTAGAAATCTTGGATGTTGAAAACTCCATCTTAGGGAATCTCTATTTGGGGATTAAAGGTCTTATCTTGCATGTAGGGTAAATGACACAGATTTTTGAGCTGACTAAACTTCCCCATTTGATTGTCTTTTCTTTTCGCAGTGACTTAGACTTGGAAAAGTCTCATGCCTGATGGCATCAATCATTTGATTTGCATAAAAATGAAAACTTGTTCAACCTGTCAATGGAGAGGACTAAAACTAAAGTGGCAGGTGTCCTGACATGATTAATGAATTGATACCTGAAATAAAGCACTTTTAGGTTTTTGAAATGTTAAGTCCTTTACTATACACCTCTAGGGTAATTAAGTCTTGGCTTTCTGGAGTCAGTAACCGTTGCAAGATGCAGGCATCTAAATATATGCTAGAGAAAGGTGGATCAAGGGTTTGGAATCTCATAGTAGAAGCTATGATTTTTTATCTGTAGTGTTCCCTCTTGGGTTCCTTTTCTTTAAGTGAAGGCCATAAAGGAGGAAGATTTGGAGAGGATGAGTTGATGATTTCAGTATGGGAGAAAGAAAGCTTAGGAAAAGCACTAAGCATTGGGAAAGGAAACAGAACTGTAGCTTGGGATCAGGCAGTAAATAAAAGCGCCAGGCACTGTCCCTGTTGCCTTTAGCCCATAGGCCTAGCGGCTTTCATAACTTCTGTTCCATAAATGCTAAGATTGTTGAAAAACAAAAACATAGGAATGGAAGTTGGGCTGTTAAACTAAAAATCTAGTTAAATAGAACAATTTCTATGAAACAGAAAAATTCAAAAGCTGTTGTAATGCATGTCTTATAAAATTGAAAATTTATCTTTATAGAACTTCAAAGTAACTCTTTTCTGAGATTCATTTGAAAGTTTATTTTTTTAGTTTAATCATGAAATTTTCAAGATTTTCTTGGTTAGAAGTCTTAGAATATATCCTACCATGTTCCAGCATTCTATAGATTATACTTAATATGTGGATTACAAAGTACTTAAGAGACAAGTAGACGGAGGGATGGAGAAAAATGAGGTTGTTATCTACAGTTTCTGTGAATATCAGAGGTGATCGGAATTTTGGGATGGATATCACTCGCACATTCCTTAAACGTTTTTCAATCAGATTTTCCATTCTAGTAAATATCTTTCTCACCCAGAAAAAATGTAATACATGAAAGTCATATAGGGGTTCTGTGTTTGAAGCACTCTGCTTATTTCTTATCAGAGTTCAGTTATTTTCAATTGGTGTTGCCGTGGTACCAGGGTTCTCAAAGCTAGTGGTAGATGTTTCTGAGCTGCATACATTTAAAAATCAGAAAACAGATGGACCTCACAGATGTGCACTAACCTGGAATAAGTGCGTGTGGACTGTATTTCGGGTGTTTGATAGTTCGGCATCTTAAAACATGTCCTTCTCTTTGCCATACTTCGCAACTCTTCTCTCCCTTTTCCATCCCAATTGCGGCAGAGTGGTGACCACATTAATTAGTTTGTAAGTAGATGATGAGGCTTTGCTAACATCAGGTGCTTATTTGCAATGTGAGACTTTTTTCCTTCCAAGAGGAGATTATGTTTCTTTCCTTGACTTTTTTTACTTTTCAGTTCTTTGCTAGTCATCCTCAAGATCATCCCAGGTTCTGCGCAGCTTGCTCTGATACATTTCTGTTGTGTGAAGTCATTAAATATCTGACGAATCCGGCATACCTTATAGATAAAAGCAATTACAGTTGACATCTGTGAAATGTAAGCAATATCTTTGGTTTTATAACATCCGTTTGGGGGAAGAAAAGATAGCAAGAGGGTATAACATGGTCCTTATTGGTTCCGTGGGGAGCAGATGTTTGGTTACAGTCTGATCTACACTGTTTCTATGGCTGGACTTTGCTGCTAATGTTTGGAACAAACTAGATGGCAGGGGTGAGGACCAAAGGTGGACACACTTATTGAAAGCAGTAGGAGGGGAGCTGGCGAGGGAGAAAATAGTCTGTGTTTGACCATATTTAAGAACCTACCAGTATGAAGTCTTTGGTACATCTGATGACAGAATCTATGGTGTTGCAACAGTGACACCTTCAACAGGTCTTCATTGTTATCTAAGTATTTGTTGTGAATGTGGGTTTTTGTAATTTGCTGGTGGTGACTATGTGGGTAGGTAGACTATCGCTTGGACTTCAGTCATTTAAGTGGATTCAGGGAACTACCCAGCAGGTCCCTTCAGGTGGAACAATCGGAGATTTTAAGCTATTGAAATTTCAAGTAGGATGACCTGGGAGGTATCTGTTCTAGTGATGGTCACCTTAGTGACACACTTAAAAATTCTGTAGTAGTTTGGCTTATCAGTTTTATTGAGCTACGAGATCGACACTGTTGTGCCCCTTTTTGAATTCAGTGTCCCATGGAACTTAGGCTGGAGCACACTTAAGTGAGTGCTGGGCCGGAAATCTGATGAGCAGTTTGCATACTTGGTTGAGCTCCACTGAGCAAAGCAGTTGTGTCCTGTGTGCTCTCTGTAAATAAGGCTGGTAAGCAGGATCTGCCTCAGGCTCACAGAAATGCTCAGGAGACAAGAGAAAGGTTTTAACACGTTAATGGCGTAGAACCCGAGGTTTATTCTTTAATAGAAGGTTAGAAACATATTCTGTTATTCCCATCAACAAGATGATGGCCCATTTTTGTGAGTTAGAACTTTAATTATTTTGGGTATGATGATACAAATATCGTGAACATTTTAGAAGCCCTGTATTATTTACCAGGATCCACTGAGATGAGGAGCAGTGACTTAATTTTTTGTGTCATTTTCAGTGACGTTCTTTTATCACAATTAACTAGTATTTCTTCTTAGAAGTGTACCTCATCCACAAATTTCTTTCATTAATTGCCACTCTAGGCTTTCAATAAGTTAAGATCTTGGTCACAATTATTTTTCAAATGCATTTATTCATTCATCGAGTCAGCCTGTATCATCTAATGAACAGCTGCTGCGCCCCTGCTATAACAGCATCCAACAGGAGGACCATGTCTCAGACAGTGTTGTAAGGGCTTTGCATGTTCACTTCATGCTTCATCATCCAAGTGCAGTAACTGCTGTATTATTCCCATTCTAGGGATGAGTAGACCGAGCTACTGACAGTTTCAGTGACCTATTCAAGTTCACAGTTCTAATAAAAGGACAAGGTAGGGATTCATACACAAGTAATGGCTGTCTATTGTATAGCACGTGGTGGGCGTATGCGCGGTGACTGTAGTGCTTGTGTGAAGACTTCTGTGTTAACGTAAGGAGCGCCTTGACAAGGGCCTTACGGGCTTCTCCCGTGAAGGGCCTGTAGTGCATTGATAACTGGAGGTCAGCTTGTAACCCCAGCTGAACTGAGCGAGTGGTGCTGGGTGTGGGAGGCCCACCTGGGGACTGTTGCCAGCAGCATAAGAGGCAGACCTGGAGAAGGAGAAGCGGGCTGTTGGGAGCTGAGAGAGACCGTGGGGAGCTGGCTTTCCTGATGAACTTGGCTGTTTTCATCCTCTGAGGAGCTCGGGACCTCGCTGGCACTCAGAATGGCTTCAGTTCATTTTGGAGGGCTCAGGTCCTCACTTTGAGCATCGCTTCCTGGTTCCGGAGGGGAAGATGGTGCACTGCCGGCCTCCTGGAAAAGCTTGCTGCATTGGTTTCCCTGATTAGA